ATTAACAAAAAATCGATCAAGTATTAACAAAAAATCTATCATGGATTCAAAAAAAAAAAAAAAAATCCGTACGGACTCGCCGGTTCCGTACAGTGAATCGGCGAGTCACTGTACAGAATCGTCCGGTTCTCTCTAGAACCGGATGATTCCCGTTTTTTTCGCCGATTCGATCCGTCCATGGCGATTCCCGAGTCGAACCGGGCGAGTCTGGTTCGACTCGGCGTTTTTTTAAACACTGGTTTTAACCATGCACAATTCTTTACCATCCCTTCATTATGGGCATGCTTTGATCCCATCTCTGCATTGTTCACTAAATTTTTACAGGAGATGGAACATTGTCAGTGCCTCGTATAGATGATCCACTAAAGGAACTTGGGTTTGCTGTACCATTTCCATGATTGTTGTTTGCTCTGTTTTCTCTTTCTCATCTGATGCCAGTTGAAAGACTAATTGGTTTTTTTTTTTGGATTGATCAGTGGGGAAGGGTTCCCCCAAAGAGTAATTGGTTTGGATTAGTGGGTTTTTTTTTTGGGAGCTCCCATCTGTTAGGAATTTTTGTTGTTTTAAAAGTCCTCCATTAACTCTTTCATGGACCTGGATGACAAGAATGAACTCAATACCAGACATATACAATCACTCATAAGTTCCATCGAGGAATCAATTCAGAATCTCATAACAACAGTTCCGATGAATTAGATAGGCCAGTGTTACAAAAAAAAAATTGCGACATTATTATCATTTTATTTGTTTCTCATTACTTTCTGTTACTTTCTCATTACTTTCTCATTACTTTCTGTTAATGTCATGGCATTGGTCTCATTAGTATTAAGTTTGGGCCAAAGAAGTAGCATTTTTGGTCTTAGTAGACACTTCAGATGCTGTAGAGCGGCTGGAAGGATTGGAGGTTGGGTTAAAGGGGTTTCCAGGTCCTGCATATGAGATGCTGTTAAATGACAATATCGAAAAGGGTTTAAAGTTAAAGGAAAAGTGGACACCTTGATCTGGGGCTATTTCGAAGAAAATAAGGAAAGAGGAGAAAAGGGAACAAATAAAAGATAAACCCATAATCTGTTTTTTGGTTGGAAATAAATATGTATACTTTTGTTGGGTGTGAAAGCTTGGAAAACCAAGGATATACAATCTAATAATGTATGGAAAGAAAATGGAGGGTTATAGGGTCAGGGCTTAAAAAATGTGGTGAGAGACTTGGGACCAAGGTTTCCAAAAACGCTAGCAGGCCTGCCTGGCGCCCATAACCTCGAGCGCCTGTAATTAAAAAAAAACAAAAAACGCTTAGCTTGCCTGGGCGCCCGCCCAGGTACATCCGCCTAGGCGCCCGCCTAGCCTGCCCAGGTACATCCGCCTGTGTAGGCCCGCTTGGGTCTAGGAGGGCGGATTTTTGGTTTAGGCCGCCTAGGCGTCAGGTAGACCTTTTTTAAAACATTGCTTGGGACTCCCCTAACTCAGGCTTGCCTTGGCTGCTTATACAGTGTTTGAAGAAAATACCCCTTTAGGGTAAGGCTTAAGTCTTAATTCGTTGAGTGCTTTTCAATATAAAGCAAATAGCCAAGTTTTTTCCTTTTGCTTTTCAATATAAAGCAAATAGCCAAGTTTTTTCCTTTGTCCTTATAATACTCCTCACTTTAAAACTTTATTTCCTTTATATTTGGTTTTGCTAAAAGACTTGTAGAGTTGACATGGATATTGCAAGTTGATTTGGTCAAGACCTGGCTGAGTCCTGAACTGGGTATAAAAAATTTGTTTTGGTTATTGTTGTGGAGGGGCTTCTCATGTAGTTTTATGGACATTATGCAGGTTTACTCTATGGGATTGTGTTATTTTTCATGTCCTTGTGTGTTTCTCGGGTCTGCTTATTTGTTTGTGTTTGGTGTTTGTGATTTTGCCTTACTCTGGCTTCCTTAAAGTTTGAAAGGTCATTTTTCTTATAACCAAGACACTTGGCCCTCTCTAAGGATGTTAAATGTTAGCAGTAGTATTGTTTATTCATACATCCATTTAAGTGTGCTAGATGTTCCAACTTGGTCTGCTGCTATTCACAGGGAAACCTTTTCTTTGTAACCTCACTTACTCTCAAAATGCCACTGAAGTGCCCATAAGAGTACCACCCAACCCAAGATAAATAAATAAATAAATATTGATTTTCTCTATTCTAAAAAAGGGATTTCTTTGATATGACTATGACTTATTAATACTTCAGATTTCAGCAGTGTTGGGTGTCCTGGTAGCTATAAAAGTGCCTTAACATTCTTTGCCATTAGGGTTGTTCATGTAAGCAGCCACTCTCTAGCCAGCAGTAGCCTCAAATGCATCTATTGGCTTTAGCAGTGAAATAGCTTTTTTATGTTCACCGCTGAAGCGAGAACCCCAATATCTGTGGCATTTTCCTGATAAGTGGTGATTCTTTGTTTTGAGTTGAGCCGGCAAATAGTGGCATGCGACCCATTCCGATGTAACTTCATGGCAGCTTTATTGCTACCTGGAAATAGTTCCATTTGGACAGTTATTAGTGTCTCCAAATGCAACCTTACTGTCCTCCATGCGAGCTACAGATGCCGAGATTGCAAACTGGAGGCCTCTAGATGAGGATCATAGGGATGTGCTCCAAACTTTTACAAGTTTATAGATGCCCTCCTTCAAGGTCTCATGTTTTGAGAGGGATAAATCCGAGTTTTAAGCGGGTGACTTCATTTTGACAACCAATTAATTGCTTGTCACTGAAAAGGTAAAGCAACTGGAAGCGATCAACGCAAAGATGGCTTAGTTGCAAATGTAATAAAAGGAGATGGTGCACCCAACATGGTGGCTGCATCTTATGGTGAAATAGAAACAAGTGAGCTCCTTGTTTATGAACCAGGTCCAGCTTTAATAGGTCACTTGCCTCCTGCACCTTGCCATAGAGTCTTAATGAGAGAAAATAAGACAAGGGAATTTTAAAATTTATGCTGGAGGAAATGCCCTTGACATTGGGAGACTAGACCTGTAAATGTTGTTGATATGTTGATTTAATTTGAGTGCAAACTTGGAGGGGCACTTCCCTTTCACTTGCTACATAGTGATGATTTGTATTCTTACTTCCTCTTTTGTTGGAGAGTTTTTATGGTGGCTAAGCCCTTTGACAGTCCATTTTCAATCCCTTGATCGCCTCGCTTTCTTCTCCACTCACTTGTCTCTATTTTCTCTTGGTACAACTTGATGGATACATCTTTGCAGTAATGAATGTTAGTTGAGTATTAAAAAACATGTTGTTCTTTAAACCTCTGTTATGAAGTAGTTAACTTGCACATCTTTGTTTGATGCACTTATTTTAGTCTCAACTAGGTTTATTCTTTGTTTAGAGTATCGTGGTTATTGTTTTAAAAATAAAAAGCCTGTGGACTAGAGAAAGCATTTGAACCTTAGTAATGTTGCAGCCTTTATGCCATAGCCTCCACACTGATAGGGTGCACCTTGTCTATACATTACCCTAGTCGTACTATTGGTAAGAGTGCAAACTACTCAAAGTGATGTCTAGTCTTTTCAATCCTCAGTCAATGCTATATAGTCAGAGAGAAAATACAACGTAAACCAATGAAGCATAGTATGGTTGGACTCCATGGGGTCAATCCATTGTCACTTTGCAATGATGGATGGTAGAGAGCAACTATACTTGGGTGAATGCCCCATTGTGCCCATTACGGTTAATCTCCACTTTTCATCTATCAAGAATGGACAGTGTATCCTCTTCTGGGTACTATATACCACTTTGGATTATGGCATACTTTCCATGATC